TATCCAATATAAACTGTATCTGACGTTTTTGCAAGCACATGTAACATGATCGTTGAAATATATTTACCTAAATAAAACTTTTGATTAGATCTCTTTTCGATTGCAGTTGTAAAATAGCAGATGAAGACGTTTGAGCAAGACGTTTTTACTGATACTTTTAAGTAAATTTGTTTGGCCATCAGTAAAAAAATGATGCATTAATAATAACACCACGAGGATGTCGATCAAATCGATTAATATCACTTGATACACGCGTTCAAGATGATCAATAAGTATTTGAAAAAATGTAGTTTATACAGAATACTTCGTCCTTCAATTTCAATTTCAATTTCAATTTCAATTCCAAGTGAACAATTCCTGTATTAAGCCAAATGCCATTTGAATGGTTTTATTTTTGCTTGAAATAGTATTATTATTTGTTGTTGTTGATAATGTGATGCTTTTGTTATAAGCTGAAGAACTTAAAGGAAAGTAAATTTGACAGTGGGCGTTGTTGATGAAAGAACTGTACTACACACACTGGCACAACCTGAAGATAAATAGAAATCTAGGAAACAAATATCGATTGATTTTCTTTGCATTTAAAATATTTTCCGAACTTTTTCGATGTTTTGCATCTAATATTGCCAGAAGATGAATAAGAAGAACATTTAATAATTGAATATCAACGATAGCCCAATGTCAAAGTTGCTGAAGAAATGCGAAAAAATATAAAATTAGTAAAATTATTTGATAATACAAACTAAGAATTTTACTTTAGCAGAATGGCAATCAAATAATAGATTGTTAAGAATAGATAAAACTTGAACACATTCGTCAATTAATACATCATCCTACAATAATTCACTTTTATGAGGAAAACTTCATTGCATGGCAAGCTTACTTTGCTCATATATTTATCTGGTTGAAGCGAAAATAGAGTTTATTTTGTTTGAATATGTTTAAGATGATCATTCGATTCTGTTCTAAGTCGATTTTCACAGATTAAAACTAATTGATTGAAGGATAAGATAGATATGGCAACACTAATCGAATCATTGATAATCTTTTGTAATGGTAAAGTAAGAATGCCTACGAAAATTTAGAAAACATATTAATGATTAATTTTAATTTTAAACAAATTACTAAATAATTCTGATGCAAACAGAATGATTTAATGAGCAAGATTGATTTTTGTTTTCCAAAAACTTTATGATGTATCAAAATTATTTTCAGGAAAATAAGCAAGAAGAGAAATGATTTGACTTAAATTTTCATTGTTAAATGCTTAATTAATCATATCAAAATTTGATTCAAAATAAGTCATAAATATGGAGCAATTTTTGAGTACGTGTAAAACATCCCAGGAGAATCAGGGTACGTGGGAATCGGCCGGAACCGATCAGTTTCGTTGAATTCCGACGATTTCCTAACTAACGGATTCCGGTTCAGATTTCGTCGAACCATTTCCGATCGATTCCCATCGGTTCCGTCGATTTCCGACGAATTCTGGGTCGGAACTTAACGGAATTTTTCCGGCGGAACCCGGACCGGGATCCGTTAGTTAGGAAATCGTTGGAATTCAACGGAGCCGACCGAAAAGCAACGGAATCCATAGGATCCGGTGCCGGAAACGATCGGACCCACTGGTCGGATTGAATCTCCTGGGATATTATCAAGAAAACTAAATATAAAAGAAAATCAATCATTTTATTTCTTAATCAGAATGGCTTCAGAATAAATCAAATTTATATCTTCTCAATGAAATTATTCAAAAGTCAAACTTGAGCATTTAAGAGTACAGAGTTTGTCATTAAACTTACGAAAGAGTAATGTAATTATAGTTCCAATCTATCATTATGAACCTCGATATTAATTTTGTAAGAGTCACAATTAATTTCTAAAAAAACGACAAGAAAAATAGTATTCTTACTTCACTTGATGAAGATAAATAGAAGTTTAGAAATAAACTACATTCATCTTCATTAACATTAATTGTGTTTCTTCAAGTCTATTGTGTGATGGAAATAATATATCACGACTAGAATCATTCGTAATAAAAATTGTTGTTAGCGCATATATGATGTAACACGAATTTGAATAATATATATATATAAAACCATAAATTTCTCAATCAACGAAAAGATGTTATAGTTGTTTCAGGCGATTCTTGTAAAAGAAGCTAAAAAAGCAAAAATGAAATACCCAGGTCGACTGATCCGACATCGGATCCGATAGAAACCTGGAAATATCCTACAATCCGATACAATTCTATTGGATTCCGGTCGACGAATCGATGTCGGATCCTCAGTGTCGGAATCCTATGAACTTCCGATGATATACAACGGTTTTTCCTTGGAATTCATAGGAATCCGACACTGAGGGCCCGACATCGATTTCTCGACCCGGAATCCAACGATAATTCTGTAATATCTGACAGGATCCGATAAAATCCTATTGGATTCCAGTCGACCCGGATGGGTTCCGATAGGGGCCTACTGTCGGATCGCTCGACCTGGGGACTTGTTTTTTGTTTTCATGCATTCATTATTCCATAATATAATGTTAGAAGATACTAAAAACAATTAAAAATTGCCATTGTGATGGATTTCGATAATCATTTGATGTTGTTGACCTAATTGATGAAATAGAACGTGCAGTTGTTAATGTATTATTAAAATCATCTAGAGTATGTTCTTTTAAAGCGCCTAAATTTGAAAGATTTACATAAAAGATATTAATAAAAAATTACCTTAAAAATAAATAATCTTTTTGTAGTTGACAGTTGATATTGTTTCCAAAAGATATTTCTGTTTCTATAAAGAAAAAGATTCATTCGTTTATTTCTTGATTTAAATAATAATAATAAAAAGAAATATCTTACCTTCGATAGTGTTAACAAGTTTACATAATGAAATAAATGAATATAGATAGGCTTATGATTCTTTCTTTCCGCACAGGTGCAGACGAAACATAAACGATCAATTAGTCGAGTACTTCAATATGTTATTTGGTTTTCTGTATGACATAATTGATTGATCTTAACGATGATTAGTAATTGTAACACTGTCACACGATGGAGAAACAGCAGACTTCATGACTCTATTTGACTCCACTTGACTCCGCGTGACTCCATGAAGATGGAGACTCTGATTTCCCTCTTGACAGTATGACTCAGTACTCGGAAGTTGAATTCCCATTATAGGATAGACAGCTCAGCCTGGAGAATTCTACTTCCGGGTACTGAGTAGTATTGTTCTATGGTGGGAAATGTTTTTAGGCAATTTCCGACAAAGAAGGAGACTAACCCAGGTCGAGAAATCCCACATCGAATCCGATAGGAACTTGATAGCATCCTACCATCCGACAGAATCTTATAGGATTCCGGGTCGAGGAATTGATGTCGGAACCACTAGTCGGAACCCATTGAACTTCCAGTGACATCCAACAGTGTTTCTTTGGAATTCATAGGAATCCGACGATAGTTCTGCAGGGTCTGACCAAATCCAATAAGATCCTACTGGATGCGAGTCGGATCGGATGGGTTCCGATTGGTACCTACTCTTGCTCTTGGATTGGTCGACCTGGGAATAACTATTTTATTTAATGGTACATATCACAGAGAAACGTAAAAACGTATCAGTTTCCCATTTCTATAATGGTTTTCTCGAGATTATCTGAGATTTTGCGATACTTACTGTGACTCCTCGTGTTTAGTTATGACTCCCTGGGATCCTATGTGATTCTATGCAACCAGTTGGCTCCATGTGATTCCGTTTGACTCCACCTGACTCGAGGGTGGTGGAGTCTGCTGTTTTTCCCTTGCTGTCACATCGTTGATCAATCCAAAGTACAATTGACAGCTAATATCAATTGTCTATTTCGATTCACTAAAAATGACTAAAATAGTTACAATTTTCAACGCAAAGTATCATTCCTCCTTTTCATCTTCATCTTCTGTTTCTTCTTCTTCTTATATTATAATATTATATATATATATATATATATATATTATTTTTTAACTATTTTAGCTTCTATTCATATTTACCATTATCAATATCATGAGTAAGTAATCATTTTAGTTTATAATTTTTTTTGTTGTGTCAGCTTTTTATCCCATTTGTTTATTTTTTATTATTATTTTAATTTTCGCTTTAGTTAACAATTATTTATTTATTTAGTTTTATTTTCTGTTTTGGGTGTATAAAAAAAGGTAAGTATTCTTTTATATTTTCTATACGTCCTACAGAGGGAGAAGGCCTTCCAGACATCGGCGTGAGACTGGCCAAGTCTACCTTGGTGCCCGTAGTATGTACAGGCCGCTATATAGATTCTATCTACTGTATGTTCTATACACGTTAGTTTTTATGTCTGTACGTGACGAACTTCGGCTCCCTACGGCACCACCAAGATAGTTCTTGGTCGCGCGAGCAACTATTAACTGGTAAGCAAAAAAAAATTTTTTTTTCATTTCAATCGTCTTTTCTTATTTCGTTTTAGTTCATCTCGATTTCATCAACAGCGTAGTAAGTATAATTACTTTCACTCTTTTCTATTCTTCCAGTTCAACTTCAAGTGAAACAACACAAAGATAAATTAATTATATTTTCTCTTTTTCTTTATCTTTTCTCAAAAAAAATAAAATAAATTGTTATTTTTATGTTTTAGTTCATTCACCAAAAAGTCATATGAAAACGAAAATAGTTACAAGTATGTAGTTTTTTCATGTAGACTTTTCACTTTTTTGTAACTTTTGGTTTTTTTAATTTTTGAAATAAATACTTTTAAATAACTCGAATTTTTTTTGTCATTTCAATAATAAATATTTTGTGAAAAAAATTCTTTTATTTAATTCATTTCTTTTCATTTTCAATAAATAAAAGAAGAAGAAAAGAAATATGATGTAATCTTATATTTTAGCTTTTGCCTTTTCTTTGAAGCGAAATTGAGTGAAAGAAAATTTCTGTTTTTGTTCATTTATTTCAAAGTATAGAAAAAGAAACGAGCAAAGAAAAAACAATTCACAAGTCCTTTTCGATAGAAAATCGTTGAACACGATGATTATTATAATCGACGACAAAGAGATTGCCATGTCGATCGAAAGATAAACCAATGGGGACGTGGAACTGATTTGCTCCTGGTCCTCGACCATTTCCACCCACAATTACAGTACCTCGTTTCGCTCCTCGAGTCCAACGCATTACATGATGATTCCCCGAGTCTACTACATAGAGTGTACGCAACGCATCAACGAAGAGTCCATTAGGCCGATCCAATTGTGTCAAAACATTCCCGTAGCCTTGTCCTCCAGCGAGCACAATACCTTCTTTTGCGTCTTTATTCCATTTCATTACACGATGATTCGAGTAGTCTGACACGTAGACATTCTGTTGTCGATCGACAAAAAGATATGCCGGTCCGTTAAGTTGCTTGAGACCATCACCTTGTCCATTTCCACCAGCTACGACAGTGCCATTCTCCTCACCCAATTGATATCGTCTTACTTCATGTTTTCCGGTGTCGGAAACGTAGAGATATCTCTGCTCATCCATTGCTAATCCATAACAGTAGATGTTGTCGATGAGTAATTCACCTTGTGTTGTACCACTACGACGAGGCCATCGTACAACTCGTCGATTCCCTTGATCACAAATAATGAGACTATCCGTCTCTTTGTCAATTAAGACATCAGTTGGACCATTCAATTGATTCAATCCTCTTCCTTGACCTTTGCCACCAGCAACAACTTGTCCATTCGTTGTATCACCGTTCTTCCATTGCACGATACGATGATTCCTCCAGTCAGCAATAACTACTGTTTGATCATCATGAACAAAGAGACCATGAGGGGAGTAGAGTTGATTAGTGGCACGCCCTTCCCCGTGACCTCCAGCAACAGTCACACCATTCTGTTTCCATTCAGCATTAGCAGAAATATTGACTAGAAAATAAAACATAAGAATAGAAGGAAATCTCTCTCTTTATCGCGTTGAAGTGATAGTATTATTAGAAAAGAACTGCTATCTCTCTCTCTCTCTCTCTCTCGAGTATAGCTAGTATATGAAATAATTTCGAAAGCTTCGAGCAAAATTCTTTGAATAGATCATTTTTTTTAGAAATTCCTCAGAATAAGTTTTTTTCTATATATTGGAAGATTATTCTATAGAAAGAAAATTATCTTTTATGACGGTGATAAGTCTATATGTAAGAAGAAAACTCGATAAAAACGAATGAAAAAGCTATATTAAAAGATTTCTTCGACACAATATTACACTATAGTAATTGTGTGATCAATTACACATATAGCGTATCATTCTCTGTCTGAAAGTGTATTTAAATTCTATTTAATAGGGAAATATAGTTACATTATTGTCTTGTTAACACAAGCAGACATTAAGAAGCGTGCGATTTTCTTGAGGCCCTCAGCAACGATTGGATATATATTTTCAACTCCTCAAAAAAGTTAGTCTACATCCATCGTCATTCAATCGGAGTTTCAAGTGATGAACTCTATTTTTTTCTGTTGTGAAAATTATTCAGCTAAATTATATAAGAGTGATATTTGTTGAACGTATCTAATATTCAGCGATGAAAAATGACATGCAAAAGGCATATAGTATATGTAAAATGTTGTTTAGTAACGACATATTGATTATAATATCGATAATATTATTTCGAATGGATAGAGAATGAGTATCCAGATATATATACTTGCGTATATATCGAGATAGTTAATCGATGTCGAATTATAGAAGCTTGTAAGTGGTACAACCAAGCATTTTTGGAGAATACTAACTTGTAATAATTTATTTAATAATGAGTTTACAGTAAACAAGATAGCAATATCGCGCTGATAATAATATGTATATGTTTCTCAATACAAGTCAAGTTTAACTATTTTCCAACTACGTCCTAATAACTCTTTCTTCGCACAAATGAAATTTTAACCACTGTGTGACTTAGAATACTGCCCTTTTTTCCAATATGTCTTGAGCTTATATACTAGCGAGAGAGAAAAGATACATAGAAAGATTACGTACTGTTCAGCACGCGACTATGCACTGTCATATACAAGGATGTATATTAGTAATGTAAACTTAATTACGTCACTGCGATATGTTCATTAGCACTATGACCTATAAGTGGAGCTCTGGCGGTTTCTATAATCCCCTATTTAATCTAGTCCTTCATGAGTGACGTACTTCTTGACACAGATATATTATCGACTATTACGTAGTATTTGTATCTTTAAACTTGAGTATCAGACATTGCGTCTTTTCCGATGAAAAGAATATTTTAAAATCTTTAAATTATTTTCTATTACACTTTTTTTGTTCTCTTAATTGAACCCTAAAGAGGTATTTTCTATACTATGCTTTAAATTATATTCCTATATACTTTCATATTTTACTTATTAATGATGTTCTTCTTTATAGAACACTTTTCATTTTACTCTATAAATTATTTTCTAGTTTACAGTGTAGAAAAATTATTCTATGACATTAGCAGAAATATTAACTAGAAGAGAAAACGTAAGAACAACTCATTTCATACAGATATTAATCGAAACTGAAGTAGATTCTCCAAAAGTTAGAACACTCCAAAAAAATTCAACTATTCAAAGAGAAAAAAGGATGAAAGGAAAATATCTTTCTACTAGAATATTCTTTACACGGATATCTCTCCCAAATCTCAACAAATCTGGCCCAGATTCATTGCAGGAACACAAAAAAATATATATCTTAAAAACCTGTTTATTAATGATGTTTGACACTGAATCATAATCGATTAGTTCCAGATGATTTACAAGAAAAGAAGAAAAAAACGGCAACAAAATAAAATTATTGTTCTGTTTAGATATGTAGGAAACTGCAAAATAAATCGTTAGTTTCATATTTCAACAGAAATGTTCTATCGAATAGCTGACTATACATAAATACCGAAATATTCGTTTGTTTTGTGTCATCAGTATGATAATTCCATTTGTAAATTCAGCCAAATGCTTAATTCATTCTCTTTTTGATGAAAAGATAATTTTCGCTGATTTGATCCAAAAATGATTTGAGAAATGATAAGAAAAACTGGTGTGCACATCTAATAAAGTTCTTTGATATTTTCGAACGAAGTACAATTTCTTTTAAATAAAATATAGTCTGATTATATTTCTATGTTAACTTAAAAACAAATAAAGATATCTATTTAAATTATGAATAGATAGAAAACTAGTGATGTGAAATAGGAAAATAACACGCTCGAATAAGCTCAGTATTTTCCATTTGTCAATGTTTATGTGAGTTCTAATTCAACTGCACCAGTTAGCATAATGAACGATTCGTATTCATTAAAAATGCTTAGTTGTCTGATGTTTTTACTTGTACGAGTTATTTTTACTAAATTTCTCTGTCTATCTATTCAGCTTCATCTATCTAGTTAATATTCATTGTAGTTTTAAGCTGATTTATATAAATTTTGTTTTTCGAAATTTCTTTACAAAGCGAAAAAGAAAAGTTTTATTGTCTTCCAACACACCATCTCCCATAGTCTACATAGTTTCGATCTTCTTTTCATTTCGACATGAGTCATTCTTCAATTTTCTCATTCTATAAGTCTTCTTTCGTTTGGTGTTATTCAATGAGTATAGCAAATCCCTAGCGAAAACTAATGATCAAATGATCATGCTTTTTATATTTTTCAATACTTTCCCGGGCATCTTTCCGCGTCTCCTTAAATCTTTTATCTGCTACCTATGCTCAGCGTGGACATTCAATTGAACGTTCAAGTATGGTACTGCTAAAACGGCGATGTGTTTTTTTTTAAATTTATTGTTAATCATAACAAACTAAAACTGTTTTTATTCGCAACTTTTGTCATCAGTTTTTTTCTGAGAAACAATGAAACTATATACACGATAGATATGTATAATTCAGAAGTCTATAAAAAATCGAAAATGGGTCGAAAATTATGCAGAAAAATTTCAAAGTCAAGCTTGAGACTTCGACTAGAATGATAAAAGTCAGTAGTAATCAACTTGAGAAACATTTTGGTTTCGTTAAAAATTAAACTTATTTGTGGAATCGAGTCAGCATTTCTAAAACGTGCTATTTTATATTGAAGAAAAAGAACACGAAAAAATTCAAACAGGTCTCTGAAAAGTTCAGAAAATGGTATCAAACAATAATTAGATAATCGCTGATTTTCAAAAAACTAAGATGTTTTCTTCTAATAGTCTCGGTTCCTTACACTAGCATCAGAAATTCGTCATTTGTATTTCTTCAAGTTGTCTTTCAGTTGTACTTTTTTACTCAATAGACAAGCTACACAATAATTACTAGCTATTCAGGTATCAGTTAATTACTATGACTGTTACTTGGACAGAAAGCTAATTGTCTTATTACCTGAATATGATGGTTTCGGCGAGGTCGGTTGCGGATTCTGCTTGTCATTTGTTGTGAGAAGCTACAAACATTAAAGGGTTGATTTATTTCGTGAAACACAATCTAAAAGTTATCGGCGCTATCCCTGCAGGATTACAATGTGAAACACGATCTAATCATTGTATCCCAGGTGAATGAATCCGACAAGTCGACAAAATTCGATCAGATTCCTGGTCACGCACCTACTAATGGATCCGACGGAAAAAAAACATTTTCTTAATCACCAATAAATAAGCACATGGCGCCAACAGAACACATGGTTCGAATGCTTATGTTGGATTCCGTTAAATTCCGACGCTGCAACCTATCGGATTACAATACTAAGGTTCCGATTGTAGGTCCCACATCCGGGCACTGATAGGATTTCGTCGGTTTAATGAAATCCATACTATGTCCGATAAGATTCCGACACGACTCCGATAGGATCCCAGTATTGGAATCATTCTCCACGATATGACTACTGCTCTAAAAGTTGGTCTTTTTTCTGCACTTTTGGACATATTTCAACACAGTGGTTTACTTACCAGTCAAGAACTTCAACAGGGAAATAATTCATAGATATTCCAATCAGGTGCTACTATACACATGATCTTTGATACTCCCTTGAAGTTGTCTGTCACAATCGGCGATGTTTATGGTTCCACCTCTGTCGCCGACCGTAAACGACAGACTTCAGACGCATCGCAAACCGTGACAGACGGCTACAAGGAATCATCGAAGATCATGTGTATAGTAGCATCTGATTGGAATAACTATGAAGTAGTTATTTTCTTGTTAAAGTACTAGACTGCTAAGTAAACCATTATGTTGAAATTCGCCCAAATATGCAGAAGAAAGACCAATTTTTCGACAATTGGCAACAATATTTGTATCATGTTTCATGGTTTTAACCCCACAGAGATTGTGCTAACAGCTTTTAATATATAGTGTTTTAGAATTTTGTAATAATGCTCACCATTCCTGGAGCTGAAATTCGTTCTGAAGATACGGATGGCGACCGTGCAGGATCAGCATCGATGGAATTTAAATAAATATTTTCAGCAATCATAATTGAACTAACGCGGTATGGCATCTGTTTTCCTTTACTTTCTTTATAAACCTCAGCACCAACAGAGGAAAAGATCAAATCTATATGTTGATTTGGAACGGCAATCTGTTTCAATAAATGTTTCGTATACAATCCATTCCTATCTTGACCACCTCCATCTGCTGCCAAGCTACCAGGAGCACAAGCAAACTGAAGAAGAGTGCCTCCTGGTGCTATCATTGCGTGCAATCCCGAACCACTACTTTTTGGACCTCGAAATTTACTTGTATCATCAAACAGATATTCACGGCAACAGTCCAGAATAAAAATAGTGACATATGACGTTTGTGATGACAAGCTTTCTAAAGTTTCTTGAGCATTAACTGAATTAAATTTAATGTTTGTTTCTCTCGCTATTTTTTCATCTGCATCAACTGGCAATAAATAATTTTGCTCTTTATATTGAAAACCATGACCAGCAAAATAAAACATTACTAAATCTTGATCTTGAATTTTATCAGCAAAGTTGTCGATCAAATTAGCCATTTTTTGATGTGTACAATCAGCACCCAAAGTAACTTCAAAGCCAATTGTACGCAAGGCATCAGCTAAATCATTGGCATCATTCACAGAGTTAGTCAACGGCCTCTTGCTATAACTTTGATTGCCTATAACTAATGCTACTTTTCTGTGAAGTTTTGACATACTGCCACTTAGAGCTGCCATTGTCTAAAAGATGAAATACAATATTGATGATTTTTACACCAAAGTATATGTGTTTTTATTGAAGCTGCTTTTCAGAATAAAAAGAAAGAAAGAAAATAAAGATAACATACAAACATGTTTAGTCTTTGTTCTTCTACTTGATTTTACGTGGAATAAATTCTTATCGCTGTGCAACATTGTATGCACACGAAATTGTGCAAAGTGATAAGATAATAAATAGAAATATGGGTTTTAATGTTTCAGATGAAAAAAGCAAAGTAGAAGTGAAGTTGGAAAAAAAAGTTTCGTTTACAGCGAATTGATGTTATCCTATCATACAGTTGGTAAACATAAGAAAGCTGGTAGCACAATCCCTGTTGGATTAGAATGTGAAACAAGATGTAGCTGTTTTATTTTATCTATTTTGCGAAATACTATTGTTGGTTGGCGTCAGAATTAAGTAGTGGTTGACAGAAGACAAATATTTCTGGAATGACAGTAACTGGCGAGTTTTGGGTTCCACCAAACCAAAGAGGCTGAACCAGACCGTGTTTTGATATATTATTATATAAGATGAAATGATTACCTGAGCAATATGTTTTGCAAATCTTTCCGGGAAAGCTGCACAATAATACTATGTAATGGCAATTCATTTTTGACTTTAACATATATGTTAGAAAGAGAGTCTACAGATCTATGCTGCAAGATCTGTTAGATGAGTGAATCGATAATTATTTTAATTTGAAAGAAAATTTTTATCAGTTGTCTGTGTAGAATCTGTTCAAAATTCATATAACCGGGTACGTATGAAAAGAAGTAGATAGGTGAATAATTACTCTGTTTTCGTTCCTAAGAATGCTTTCGTGAACTGCATTAAAGTTGTATGATCTCTTTTGCCTCAGTGTAATGATTTCAGTGATGCATCTTCGTCTTAGGCACTATATACATTCCGTATTTCTGGAATATTTATATATTGTTTATTTAGAGCTGGAAAACATTTTCGTTAGTTTTGAATAGCCGTCTTATACCGCGTATCATTGTCCTTTTTTACCAGACTACTCTAATAGATGATACAAGCAGCATCAATTACCTAGAATAGGGACTACAATGTTAAAAATCAATATTATATTCAGTACTGCCTGATGTGATTTCTAGTTGCATCGCCATCGCAACCAGCAATAAACTGTATAACAAGTGTATGGACACCAGCGTGTTAGACGTGAATGTCGTTTTATCGTACGTTTTGTTTCAAAATTCCCCAACAATAAGTTGGTAGGGTCAAACAGCAATGTCTGAAAGATAGCTGAACGATTTCCACGGTTAATTGATTATAGTTTCATCAGATGGTTGGGTGATGTAATTCATAATAGCTCTGTTTTTGGCGATATTTTATTACAAGGAATATCACGATTATTTAAGCACTGCTTTAACTATTCTTGTCGTCAAGATCTTTTTGTTGGTTTACATGAATCAATCAGTTCACAATACAAATACGTACTTGTGAACCTATCTAATATTCGATTCACACATCACGCCAAAAAAGTGGGAAATAAAGTTGATCGTACGATTGCCATCGCAACGGGCAAATGCTGCTTCTTCAATCCATGTAAGAAAATAGTCAAAACTGCCTGAATGCTCTTTTGAATAAGAAAATATATAAAAAATAGGTAAATCAATCCCATTAGTATTCATAATTGCTGATATTGGAATTCTAGTCTAAAATTTTACAATTCCTATTTATTTCCAATATAAAGCTGAGAAAGCTACATTTCTCTTTGCTCTTCTTGGTTCTTCCCTGTTCATTACTGACTATCCACATTGAAGTTTTTTCAGCATAGGCATCAATGGAGATTTCATTGTGGAAAAAAAGCAGGTGCGCTGGTATTGCATAATCCTCCATGCTTCGCAACCAAATTGTTCTCTGAGCAATAAAGGCAACCTTATCGAGTAGAAGCTTTATCTTGCCAGCAGATTCATAAGAAAAAACAAAATGATGAAGATGTCAATGAAATGTGGCTTTAGATTGAACTGGAAAATCATTTTCCACTTGATGAAATCTTTCTAAAAGATTGTAGGTTATTTCCCAACTATCTTCCTTTGATCTTGAATAATAGTTGATACTCTTCTTCTTCAGAATTTTCTGCTAACAGGAGTTCATTCTTTAATTTGAGTAAAGTACTTTCTAAAATGTTCCACATCGTCATCAGTCGATGGATACAGTTATAATGTAAAACTGAGGGATCTGTTTTCTCATTTTACACGGATTTAGATACAAAAATTATTATTTTCTTCAGATTAACTGAAAAATGAACACCTCTTCGTATGATATCAATTTATACAAAAAAACAAATACGATGATTTAATGATTGATGCTATAACAAATTCATATATATGAACAGAGAGCGCAGCAATTCTTATCGAATTTGCTACCGCAAACGACAAATGAGAAAAATATCGATAGACTTCCGATATTAAAACAGATATGTCTTTGTGTATGCCTGGTTCAATATATCACCTATATGATATTAGCTAGCGTTTTCCTTTAAACGATTGCTGAGAAGAAGCTGAGTAATTATTTACATATCTACTGATTTTCATACGTACCCGATTACATGAATTTTGAACGGATTCTACACAGATCAGCAATAAAAAATCACTTTTTATTTACAATAATTATCTATTCACTCATCTAACAGGCATTGCAGTATAGATCTGAAGTCTCCTTTTCTAATGTGTATGTTAAAGTCAAAAATTAATTGCCATCACATAGTATTATTGTGCATATTTCTCGGAAAGATTTGCAGAACATATTGCTCAGGTAATCATTTCTTCTTATATAATAATATATCAAAACACGGTCTGGTTCAGCCTCTTTAGATTGGTGAAACCCGAAACTCGCCAGTTACTGTCATTCTCGAGATATTTATCTTACGTCACCCCACACTTAACTCTGCCACCAACAATACCTTACGATTCTTGACTTGTTCCTCTGGAACTAATATAAGGAAGTAGTTCAACTATTATTCTAATGGTATCTTATTGATATACGGTTTATCTAGACATTTCAACATTTGTTTCACATCGTATTTCACAAAATAGAAAAAGAATCTTTTATTTCGCAAAAAATGGATTTGTTTTAAAAAGTATATATGAAGTACGAAAAAAAAATTGCAGTGAAGAATTAAAGTAAGTGCATTAATCATCGTTATCATCCACGATATAATACTCTTCATTCGATTCATTTTCTTCCAGTGTATCAAATACAGATTCATCCAATGATTGCTGTTCAGTTAAGCCAAGACTTCGAAAGCGTTCAGACTACAAGCATAATGAAAAATGTTCCACATTAGAATGGATGACAACGATAGTTGCTTACTAACTTGTTGTTTAATATGAAAAACTAAGCATAGCATACCGATCACCGAGGGAACTTCTCCTTTTAATCTTCTCAACTCATTCTGAATTGGCATTGCTTGAAAAAAGTTCTTAATTTTGATGCGCTTTCGTCCACTTTTACTTCGTTCAAATAAGACTACTGTTTGATTAGCCAATGTTCGTAACTTTTTTAACACAAGATTCAAATGATGTCTCTTTGCTCGTTCTTTTTCTTGTTGATCCAATGATGAAAGGATACTTTCAATGATGGCCAAGTCAGCGGCCAGTTCAGCGCACAATTGTTTATTAGCTTTTACTTGTTCAGCTAATTCTATGGAGTATTGTAATAATGTGATGCATGTTGTTAAACCTAATTCAACAGCCATTTTGGATGTTTCGTCTGACACAAAGATTAAAAAAATGATGAAAACATATCTCTTTTCACAGCAGAAGCCATCATACTAATTGTTTTCTCTATTGAAGATTAGATATGTCATGTGGCGTTTCTTTATCTGTTCACAGTTGCAGATAAAAAAAAAGATTATACACCTTTTTATTTTCTTTGCTTCGAAAAAGTTCGCAGCTTATTCGAATTCTTGCCGTAACGATTTGTTACATGATGTTCACTGATTATAAGAACTAATGTGCCTGATTCCAGCGTTAAGGCATGGGGGTGGGGTATGAATGTGTATTAAGCGGAGACCGCCATCATAGCTGACACGCATATTCACACCTTGACGTGCACTATATTGTTTATGGCTGAATCTCCCAGGTCGAGAAGTACTAGCCGGTTGCTACAATATCCGGTGGTCAAAATGGTCGACTTGGGCTTTGGTCAAAAATATAGCGTCATCAATATTACTATCACTATTGAAAATTTTTGATCAAGAAATAACACACAATTGGGGAAAGACGATGTTCAGATATATGCCTATGCATGTTAGTGTACGTGACAGGTTTTCTACACAACTACAGTTTCACTCTCACATGCTCAAGACTGTACGTTTTTCGACTATTACTCTTGCTCACATCTAAATTTTATGTTATTGTTCTCTGGGCTTTTATTTCTGATCTAAGTAGATTTATTTCAAAGTGTAGAAAAAGAAACGAACAAAGAAAAAACAATTCACAAGCCTTATTTGATAGAAAATCGTTGAACACGATGATTATCACGATCGACGACATAGAGATTACCATGTCGATCGGAAGATAAACCATAGGGATAGCTGAACTGATTTGCTCCTTCTCCTTGGCCATTACCACCCACAACTACAGTGCCTTCTTTCTTGTCTCCTTGAGTCCAACGCATTACACGATGATTCCCCTCGTCTGCTACATAGAGTGTACCCAACGTATCAACGAAGATTCCATTAGGAAAAGACAATTGTGTCAGAGCACTCCCGTAGCCTTGTCCTCCAGCGACTACAATACCTTCTTTTGCACCTTCCACCCATTTCATCACACGACTATTGTTCCAGTCTGATACGTATACTGAATGATCTCGATCGACAAAGAGATATGTCGGCACGTTGAGTTGATTAACACCATCACCTTTTCCATTTCCACCAGCTACGCGAATGCCATTCTTCTCACCCAATTGGTATCGTCTTACTGCATGTTTTTCCCAGTCAGAAACGTAGAGATATCTCTGCTCATCCATAGCTAATCCCCAACAATCGATGTTGTCGATGAGTATTTCACCTTGTGTTGTACCACTACGACGAGACCATCGTACAACTCGTCGATTCCGCCAATCACAAATAATGAGACTATCCGTCTCTTTGTCAATTAATACATCAGTTGGAGCATACAATTGATGTGATCCATTTCCTTCGCGTTTACCACCAGCAACAACTTGTCCATTCGTTGTATCACCGTTCCTCCATTGCATGATACGATGATTCCCGCGGTCAGCAATAACCACTGTTTGATCATCATCAACGAAGAGACCAAAAGGCCATTTGAGTTGATTAGTGGCACTCCCTTCCCCGTTACCTCCAGCAACAGTCACACCGTTCTGTGCCCATTTAGCATTAGCAGGAATATTAACTAGAAGAGAAAACGTATAGGAATAAAAGGAGATCTTTCTAGAGTATAGCTAGTATATATGAAATAATTTCGAAAGTATCGAGTAAAATTCTTTGAATAGATCATTCTTTCTTTTTGCTAGAAATTCTTCAGAATAATCTATATACTGAAAGATTATTCTATAGCACAAGAACATAGAGTTCTCTCTAATGCTCTTTTTTTTGCATCAAAATAGTTCTATAGTCATTTATCTTTTGCTTTGTATTTTTGAGGTGTTATATCCATGCGAGTCTATATTTCCTATGAACAGACAAACATATACAGTAAAACGGCTCTATAATGAACACTAACGGGACCCTTGAAAAAATGCTCATTAACTGAACTCTTGCATGTATACAGTCCATGTTTAGTAATACTGATTGGTGTCTACTACGCATCTTGCGTATCAGAATTCACCACAAATAACTTAAAGCAAAAACAAAGAGTATTTCTTTCATCTGTTACACATGTCTATTTAATTTCTATGATGCTGTTGACTGAATTAATCTCGTAGATTGCGCTTCTTAGTTGAACTTTCATTTTGTTCATAACTTTCAATATACTCGACCTTGCGCTTGATAATGTTAGAGACACTGCCGATTTGAGATCTTATCCCAAGTAAGCAAAAAATGAAGGGATACTGCCGACATGTCTAGTCAGAAATGTCCGCAGCTGCCGTCAAGTCTAGTCTGAAACGTCTTGCATACTCGTCTGATCTAGTCAGCTTAATGAGGAGTGTCTTACAAACACGTCTGTACTAGTCTGAAATGTCCTTGAGCCCAGTCATGTCTAGTCCGTGTTGTCTGTTGACCTAGTCCAGACTAGTAAGAAGATTAAAAACAGAGGTTACACGGTGGATTTGAACATCCAGCCCGACAGTGTTTGAGATATGACGGGCATCCTGACGGGAGACTAGGATACTGAAATAGACTGCCGTAAGTATATATTGTCTAAACTTATATATTGACTCGCATCCATGCATAGAAAATGAGAAACAAACCGACGTACACGGTATTGACCAGTCTGAAGCATCTTTTGGACACCTCATGACTAGTCCGTTTTTTAGAAGTGTTTATTTTACTCAATGCTTGTCGAATTTTTTTCTACCTAGAAGTACAATTAGAGAGTCTGCTGTCATCAATAGTGCATTCGAAAAGATTTAATATATTGCATGCATCCCTGTCTTGATATATTCTATTTTATTTTGCATTAGCATATGCTAAAAGTTTAAGAGTGTATCAAAACATAAAATAGTAGGGGTTAGTACTAACAACAAAATTCATCTCGTATCTGGGAGTGCTAATTTATATATTTTTTTTCAAAATAAGAGATGTACTAAATTTAAAAAAATTGAGAAGCATCTAAATCTTTTCATATAATACTATTATGTTAGTATATTTTAAATATCAATTCTAATAATTTAAAATAAACCAAAAATAATTTTTATTATTAGATGAATATACGGTGATTTTAATTTAAAACTAACCTAAAAAATAATATGAAAAAAATTAGCTTCTTCCCGGTATAAATTATTTTTATTTTTATACTCAAATTAATGTTTTTAAAACCCAAATAATTAATCGCACTTGCTTATAAATCAAAATAAATTTCTCGAAAAAATTATAAAATCTTCCTAATTTATTTTTATTCAATGTTATCTAAAGTAATCACGTTTCGGTAAAAGATAATTTTTATTGATACATAAAATTAAAAATTCGGAGTAAAAATTGTATTAAATAACATCTTAGAATGATCATGAGTGTGTAGAATATGACTTCAAGATCATATGGCTCAATGGTTCTGGCGACGGGTAAGTGTCACATTGTATACATGTTCGAATCTAATCTTCATCCTTACATATTTTCATTCAGCCTAGTCCATACTCGTCCACTATATAAGGCTCCAGCTAGTTGTATACTCGTCCCAGACGCCCTTAATTTTTCATTCATAAACCATTTCCGGACGGGCGACAGGGACATTCGTCGCGACTACTCTTATTAGATTTTATGACTTGTCGTCAATCAGAGTACTAGGACGCGTATGCATGACGATCAAAACCTCGAACTAGTCCCAGACGAGGACTTTTTGAGACAAAGACTAGTCGAGACGGGGCGACATGACCAAAAAAAAGACTAGTCATTTAGCCAGTCTTTTGCTCACGTGGGGACCTTGCATGGAAATGAAGGATAGCACTTACCTGACCTAGTTCCTGCGAGGACAAAAATGATGTCTTTGTCTTTAATTAACTGTGCTGAATTATAGACTTGTTGAACAAGTCGAAATCAAAAGTAGATATTCAATTGACTGATCTTTTTGAAAATATCTCCTAATTGAATCAATGCGCGTTTCCAATCTTCACTTACTAAACAGCGAAGTTCATTAATTGAATTTTGAATTATTGAAGTTAAAATTTCTTCAATTTTATAACCTTTGTTTTAACAATTGAGGTTTCATTTTCGATATCATCAGGTACTAAGATATTCTTCTTGAAAACTATTTTTTCATCAAAAAATTTCAAAGAAAGACAAAAAGTTTAGACTAAAAATCTTTTCGAACATAATGGCATCGAAAAGAAATTCTTATAAAAATTAGTTAAGCTTTCTTTTGTTATGTCAGACTTATCTTGATTGATATATTCATGTTCATTGCCATCAAGAGCTTTATTTTGTTGTGGTTTCTTGTCATGCGATTTTTAATTTTCTATTTTCTCGATTAACGATTGAATATCGTCTAATTCTGTTGAAGAATCCTGTCGTTTCATACCTTATTTTGGTTTCTCCTTATCTAATAGAGATTGCATTTCTTGTTTCTTTTTCATGCGTTGTTGTTCCAACGTACCTACATTACGAAAACTGTGTTCTTTTAGATTCGAAGTTAATTTCATTTCTAATTCTTCGTAATCATCAGTTAATGCACTAGGTTCAATAGGTTTTATTTTCTCGACTAACAATTGAAGGCATTCAAGTTTTATTAAAGAATCTTTTCATTTCTGATTCTTTTTGACTTTTCCTTTAACAATCGAAGATACCATTTCGTCTTTCTATTTCTCTATTCTTCGCATCAAATCTGCCTCATTCTTACTTTCATATCCGTCAGACGCCTCATGTAATTCTTTTTTTTGCTGTTCATATTATATTTTTTCTCCTGCGCACGGTACTTCCACGTTTTCTTGTGTTACATTACCTGGGGTATCATTTGATTGTTGATCAACAATGAATCTAGAAAAATCATTAATTATCTCTGAACGTTCAATTTGTGGTAATTCAGTCGGGAAGACCATTTTCACTAAATTTTCAATCATTGCTAATCCACTACCTATTCGGTCGACTAGATGTTGAACAGGTCTTGAACGTAAGTTGGTATCTGGGAATATTTCAGTGAATTGGTTTCTAAATTTTTCAGGATTGAAATTGGAATTTTTTACTGGATCAATAAATTCAGCGCGTTCAATCTCTTCGTTCTTTTTAAATTCCATTTTCAATCCAATCCAATGAGAATTACCCAAATTGTACAGAATAATTGTGATTCTCTGTTCAGTGTGATTCATCTTTGCCTGTGCTAATCGTTCTTTCAGTTGACCATCGACATGATCATCAACAGTTGGTAAAACATAAATTGGTTTTAAAGTTGGATAATCTTGTCTTAATTTTTCCAATCGAGTCGTTAGAGCTGATTGATTGGTAGAATCATCCATTGTTTAAGATTAATTGATCGATTAAATAACGATAGTATGATAGTTAATATATTCGTATTATATCTAAAATGAAATAAAAATTTCGGAGACATTAAAAGAAAGAAATTATTCAAGTATAGTCAGAGCGGTGGCTCAAAGATTAATTAATCTTAAAAACTAAGCAATGCTAAAATTAGAGCGACATTCACAGCCAACGTACTACAAAGAATGAACTGTTAAGAGCAAATAAATCAGACTGTAAAGAAAAAATAATTTGCAGTAACCATGAAACGAAAAAGAATGCAGAACAATGGTTGTCAGAGAAAGAATCTGCAAGACATTCAATACGTTAGTGGATTAAGAAAAAATAATGACTCCCTGTGAACAACTACGAATCGATCGCAAAGTAAAAAACAGCAAAGAATAAATTCATATGATCTTCAACAACAAGCAGACTGTTCGGCTAGTATTCATTGGATTCTTTGAATGCTAATAGATTTTAATCTTTTCCAGAATTCCATCTCGATCATTAGCACACAATGCTTGCAAAATTTGTTTGTTTCGTTGAATTTGTCTTCAACGAATTTGAAGTGATAACCATCATTTTTGTGTACTCAAAAAAAATGAGTACACTCTAGATTCGGTCAGTGTGTCCGGCCGTTAACACGATAACCTTTGAAAGCCTCATCCAATTGTCATGAAATTTTGTGCATATAATGATCTCATCAATATCTCAGTCGAGTTCGAAGATGAGAAGAATCCGTCAAGAAATGGCTGAGTTATCGAAAAAATTGTCATTATTAACCAGACCATCCCTGAGGGGGTACAGAGATTTTTTGAAAAAAGAACTTTTTTCTCAGAATTATTCACAACATACATAAATCGATTCAATTTTTGCAGTACAATAACAATCGGATGTGAATCCGATGTTTCCGCATTTATTCAATATATTCTTCATATTTCTTCAACACGTGTTGAATGTCTCCGTTCATTTGTTTAAAAAGATAAGCAAAATAAATTGCCGACTCGAAGCCCATACTACTCGATTGAAAATAAGGTCCACCCATCGCTGCATCACCCATCAATATCCAATGTTGATTGAGATCTTTATTATTTACGCTAAGAGTCAGTTTTCTAGCACAATATGCTTGTAAGGGAATAGAAATAAATTCCATAGTATTAAAATGAATTTTGTTCAAGTTTCCACTTGAAAGATTATTTAAAAACTGTCATCATAGATTTCATTTTGATTTTCTTTTAAATAATCATATTTTATAGGTTTTATCTTCGACAATTGTTCATACAGTTGTGTCTCGATTGTAATTAAACATGTAATATGTGTTTTTCTCTCAGTTGTCGAATAAGTATCATCGACTGCTGGAATGATTTGAAATTTTTTTGTATTACAATTCTTATTATATTTACATAACTCATTGCATACATATTTATCTTCATATATAAATGTACATATTAAAACATATTCAATCATTCGATTAATACGATTAATACGATTATTTGGTGAAATATGATTAAATAATACAGAATGATAACCTGTACAATCGACTACAATTGTATTTGGATGATGATCAAGCACATCCAAATTACCACTAAAGTCATATTTCTCACCAATAAGAATTTCACCGTTAGCTAAGTCATAGTACTCTAAAAGTGTCTCCTCAACCTGCTTAAGCGGTGAAACTACGTCGAGCCAATTAGCAATCGTGTCAAAAAGTTGCGGTTTTATAGATTCGATAGCTTTTTGTCGTTCTTCAATTTGGCTGTCTGAAAATAAATATATATCATCCAAGATTGTATTGTATGATAGAATCCGTCCTAATAATTTAACACATCGTGTTCGTATCCTGTCTGGTCGTTTTTCAATAACACTAACAAGTACACTTTGATCGTGAAGAAGACCAGCTTCAATAGTCAAAGTATTAGGTCATTACAGCCGCCATGGTTGAGTGGTTACGTTGTTCGACACGTATTCACAAGGTACTGTGTTCAAACCTCAGTAGCACCATCCATGGAATGACCCTGAACAAGTCACTAACGGCTAGTTGTTTCGGATGACTCATCCGATAGCGTGCTGTTTAGATCACTAGTCAATATGCAGAGTAACCCGCCAACCCGAAATTCATAAACGGGGGAAGCGTTGGACGAAAGGGGTGCATATACCGTCGTCCGTAAAAAGGAAAAGACGAAAGAACCTGGCTGCTTACGTGGACCCTTTAGCGCCGGCCCCAACGGGCGATAAGCCTATGGGAGATATTATTATTATTATTATTATTATTATTATTATATTATATTATTAGGTCATTAGAAAATGTTTTCGAAAAAACAAACTTCATACCGAGCAAAAGGCCTACCGGGCCACCTCCGATGATAAGTACGTGTTGGATGTTGCTTTCAGCCATTTGGTTTTTGAATCAATCGAAAACAAGAACAATATATTCTGTAGTGTCGTATCCCGTGTTGCCAGATGCAAAACCTGAAAATCCGAAATATTTTTCTGAAATCGAGAAAAATATTCGGAAATATTTTTGAGGATCAGTTTTGACAACTTAAATGAATTTTTTAAAATCAAATGGTCACTAATGCGATTCCTTATTCTCACAAAAATGTATTTGAATGAAACAATAGAAAAAATACGCATCAAAGCATAACGAATTCCACAAATAACAAATTATAATTACACTTTTCGTTGTTAATTTCCAAGTCTTTTTTAGCATTCGTACAGTATTTTTCATTAGTGTTAATAAGTTTCTGTACTTCTGGTTTTGATAAGACAAAATCATAAGTGTCTGATCACGATAAAGGGTATGGGTGTGGGTGTTAGTGGGGGTGCACTGAATTACGTTTAATTCCGTTCAATTCCTGTTCGACCTAATTCCAGGAATTCCGTACTGGAATTGTAGGGTCTGGATGTCAGTGTGTGTGCACTGAATTCCGGAATTGAGTCGGAAGGGATAAACGGAATTCCGGGAATCAGATGAAATTGGTAGGCAGGGATTCCGGGAATTCCGGAATTGTGTTGGAAGCGATCAGCGGAATCGCCGGAATTAGATGGAATTGGTTCCGTGAGCGGAACCGATTCCGGAGTTTTCAACATTGCGGAATAGGATGTATTCTCCGAAAACGATGCTAACTTCACCAACGTGTGAAAATCACAATTTTTTCTATGAAGAGTAACAATCTTATATTCCTTCAATAAGTATCGTGTTTCAAATCAGAAATCAATACAATTAATTCCAAGAAGAGAAAATTGAATAGATTTTAATGAAAGAAAAATCCTATTAGTACCCAGGGCAATCATTTCGATCGTCTGAACCCGTATCCTAAAAGGTCTGAAACGACTATAAAACGGTATAATAAGGCATTACTTTTCACCTTATTTCGCCGTAATCCGTCAGTTCGTTTTACGGACCGTTTTTAACACTATATTCATCGTTTTCTGTGCTGACGGAAAACGGCGTCGTTTTTCAACGTTTTTGCGCCGTTTACGCATCATTTTCTTAGAGATGGGTAGGATTCAAACCTTAAAAAAATAAAATAATCTGACTAAATCTGTCATCAGAAATTTAACCAGTTTTTATTATCAATTTTATTATCCATCACACAGAAATACTATAATTTTCATCACTTTTTAAGCCTGCAAAATCATTTAAGTAAGATTTTTTTATGAGTTTTAAACATGGGGAATATACAGATAGAACATTAAAATAAACCATAACACGTCCACAGCTCTCTATTGCGCAGAAAACTTCGAAATCCAGCTGTGAATTTCTGAACTACCCAAGAGCATTCTCAAAAATCAGGCCATAAATCACACACTATAGAGCTTACCTGCGGATATGATTCATTCCAGCTTATATAGCAGAGACGTTTATCAATCGATCTGTCGTAACGGCTCTCATAACCTGCACAAGTCTGTTATTTCAGGCATATCGCCTGCTTGAAACTTAAATAGTTAATATGAAAAAATCATCAAAACACCAAGAAATACTGCCTGAATTGACAAATCTTTCTCAAAGTTATAGCGTAATAGTACTGAAAACTCTGGCTAATATAATGAATAACGATTACACTTGCTAGTTACTAACACAATAACACTGAAATTTATTCACAAACCAAAACTCTATACTCCATGGTAATCTGACAGCTCCTACATTATTTGGTTGGTCTCTGCTTGTGATTTCTGACACATCTCCAGAATTCTTCACAGGCTTTCATCTGCTTCCATCCTAAACAGAGCATCCGCCAGAAACCCTATCGCTCACGGCTCACTTTCACTGAAAAAATCCACAAGCAGGATTCCTGTATATTAAACCGATATGTGTAAGGACTCGGCATGCGCCAAACTCAAATTCAAACTGTTTGGAAATTTGGGTTTGGGTTCCACTATTATAGTCAATTTAAATAAATAACATGATTCTGAGTTCAGATGTATGCTAACCATGTTATTAGATTACAGGGTTGATCTATTATCTATATGACGATTAATTGATAGAGTTAGTATTCACCTATGATATTCTATATGCGCAAGATACGAAAATATGAGCGTGAATCTTAACAATACTTGTCATTGCAAGCCTCCTTCATCTATGTAAAAACCTCTCTGTGATGAATTTGTTAAGAAACAGTTCAAAGAAGACTTTGAAAAATGTGTCTCACAGCACATGCTGTTTCTAATGCGCGTGACAAAAACGATAGCTATTGAATAATACACGAACCTTAGGAATAAATATATCAAGCTCTGGTGTATACTAAAAACGACTATGTTTTGCAATACATTATAAATATATTACTGGACATACACTTAGAATGTTCAGAATAAAAGATCTAATTATGTCAAATCAACTTGCTGGACACAGTAGTACGCTTTTTAAAAAAATCGAATTTTTCATAATAAATATAAGGCAATAGAATTTAGTAAAGTAGTAATCTTTTATTCTGACTGACAAGAATTTAACATATTAATTGAAGTAAAATCTTCAAGACATAGTAGTAGACATCGACATTAGTAGAAATAAATCTAAAAAAGTATGAAGTAAATTTTTTATCTATAATATGAATTTGAAATATGTATAAAACACATATATTCTTCTATCTTCATACCAAACAGTACGTAGAATCATTTCAGCTTTTTCAAAGTTAAATTATATTGATTATTTTACAAAACCTTTTTTTAATCAATATATATTTCCGTTGACTCGCGACAGAATCCTGATGGCTTAACTTTGCCATGGGTGTACTATTATAATGCAAATCATTGTGATTTTAATCAGAAATATGATTAACTCTATATTCAGGTACGTAATCTTATTCAATATTTCAAGTAAAAGAGACAAAGATTAAGACTGAATATTAGAGGGCTAAAGATTAGTGGGAATTTAAGGCAGAATTTTCTACATACCTCTCTATTTCTATTACTAAAGAATTTGTTAATTATATCTCAATTACAGCTGGTTTAATAATGTAAGCATACCATATTTTAGGATCACACGGTCTAACACCAATCATAGTCATAAAATAAGCTGAGAAACGAAGAAGATTTAGTTTAATTTTAAATATTTTAATACAATCATGAATTTTAAGAGCTCGAATAGTTTCTCTCTATATCCTATATGACGCAGTTTATTTGTTCATTGATGATTTGTATGATCCAAACTGGATTAAAGGTTTAAGGACGCAAAACTGGTGGAAACTAATCAGTTGATGTAAAAAATAAAATCAGATGTTTGTGTCCTTCTGTTCGTTTCTTTTTTCTTTTATCTGAATGAAACAAATTTTAGGCTAAACTAATTTGACTACTTTCGAGATCAACTCCACCATGGAGGTCGCAAATCCGGAAAAAGGAGGAGCGTTAGACGGAAGGAGTGCAGAGACCGCCGTCTGTCAAAAAGAAGAGACAAAAGAAACCAACCAACCATGAACGATCATAATCGAAAATCATACCGACTCGGACATCGCCCAGGTGAACAAGGTCCGCGCCCTCTGTTGAGTAACCAGGACAGAATCGAAAAATTGGATACTGGAAAGACAGGAACAACAGCATCAGTAACGTCAAAGGTCAAGATTGGCAAACAACGATGGAAGACAATGAAAGACACACTTAGAGTGGGTACCTGGAGAACTAGAACTGCTAAGAAATGAAATGAAACGTTTCAGATTCAATGCAATTGGCATCTCTGAAGTACGTTGGAGAGGAAAAGGAGAAATATCAGGTGGTGACTTCATTTGGTCAGGAGAAGATAGTACACACAACAGAGGTGTAGGAGTGTTAAGAAGTGCAAAAGCAAAACATACACTAATAGAATACAACCCGATTAGTTCACAAGTAATCACGGGTAGATTCCATACAACACCATTCAAGCTCACAGTAATACACGTGTATGCGCCAACATCAGCATCATCAGATGATGAAATCGAAATATTCTACGATAGCATCGAACACGCACTAACACAAACGTCTAAAAAGGATATAGTGACAGAAACGAACGAGGAGATCGACTCCTAGAGTTCGCAGAACTACACAATCTATATATTTGCAATACACGATTTCAACAGAAAGCAAATAGAAAATGGACATAGGCATCACCAGATGGTGTGCACAAGAATATGATTGATCTAGTGCTATGCAACATCAAGTTAAGACTCAAAAGGCGATGCATCAAGCCGCAACAGAATTGCAGACCTGATGTAGGTCATCTCAAGAGTCAGAAAGTGAGAGAAGTCTATCAAACTAGACTAGTCAACAGATTCCAAGACATAGACGCACAGTGAAATCTAGAAGAACATGCAGCGAAGGTCGAGGATGCAATAAAAGAGGCATTACAGGCAACTGTAACAACTACAAAGAGAGCCAAAAAGTTCTGGACCTCTGAAAGAACCCTCGATCTAGCAAATGAAAAACATAGAATGAAACAAATAAAGAACGTTTGCAGCAGAAAACGACCGGCTATATAAAAGCTTGTGCGACAAAGTAAAGATAATCGGCACGACAGGATAAAGAGAACTGGATCTAAGATCAGTGCGAAGAAATAGAAAACGGCCTAAAAATTGGAAATACCAGGTGCCTATACAGCATAATAAAAACACTGAAAAAGAAGTTTGTACCACGAATAACGGTAATAAGAAACCAAGATGGCACAATGCTACAGTCAAAAGAGGGCGTGAAACAACGATGGACACAGTACTGCAGCGGGGAATATAAGGATGAAGGCGGTGGAGAAGAGATGGCCATGGGATTGGAAGGTATCTTCCCATCATACGAAGAAGATCCCCAGGATATCCTGTATTCCGAGGTAGAAGAAGCAATCCGGACACTAAAATCCAACAAAAGTTCGGGTTCAGACGGTACCACAGCTGAGATGATCCAAGTTAGAGGTGAACAGCTTGCGCACGAAATCCACAAGTGATGCAACAAAGCATGGTACGAGAGAACAATACCAGAAGATTGGGGGAAATCTATCCTGATACCAATACCAAAAAAAGGAGATCTCAGCGAATGTGCAAACTACCGAACTATCCTACTGACAGTACTATTAAACAGGCTCAAGCGGCATCTGGACCCATACTTGCCGGTAGAACAAGCAGGATTCAGACAAGACAGAAGTACAGTACACCAAATTCTAATACTCAGGCTGCTTGCAGAAAAAGCAAAAAAGACAAGGGAAAATGATATACAATTGCTTCATCGACTTCCAAAAAGCCTTCGACACAATCAAACATAAAATCATATGGGCTGTTCTCAAGTCATACGGAGTTGAGAACAAAATGATTACACTACTACAGAATATATATGAAAAGCCCAATCAGCATTACGAGTGGAGTAGAAAACAGGAGAATGGTTTCAAGCCAGTGTTGGAAGCAGACAAGGAGATCGTCTGTCACCACTACTGTTCATCACATATCTCGAATGAGTAATGGAAAAAGCAATGCAGATAAATTGAGGAATAAATATCAGTGGAACACTAGTGAATAACATACGGTTCTCTGATGGCATTGATGTCCTAGAAGAAGACTGCGAATCACTGGGTGTGGGTGTGGGTGTGACTGAGTTAAGAATACAGTCACATCCACACACCCACACCCTCTCGGCCTGGAATATTCTTTTTTGGTTAACATTAATAGCGAGTGAAAAGAATCTTAGATTCAACCATGCTGCAAAGTAATTAGGTAGTAAACCTATGTTTTCTGGGACTTGTGGTACACTGAATGTGATAAGGAACTTATGCTAATAGCACATTTCCATTCACATATTAATATAGCCAACCCTTTGCCAAGGTATTTGACGAAGTTACTAAAGCTTTAACTGGATTTCATATGTCTTGCCTTACACTTATGCGAGCTAAGCTTCAATTTTTTATTTTAATACTTACATATTGCATGGTAGTGAAGGAAGCCTTATACTTCAAATAAATACCCAAACCCAAACTTGTAGTTACTATTACTATAAGTTCATGGGATTATTTATCCACCGAGCCATCTGTTTGTGCTCCATTCAACCGTCTCTTCTAATCTAAAGTTCTTCAAAATCGTGCTTAGAGCAAAAATAATTTTAGGCTCAAGTCATTTTTTAAGATTTATGCTATCAAGAACAAGCGACAGCTGCTTGCATCAATATCATCCTGGAAATAATATGCATATTCACTGAGAACATCAGAATACATAGGTTCCGTGTGATTTCTAGAAGCCTTATGTCGCAAAAATCCGGAAATCCAACTTGACGCTTCGCAGTAAAATCGAACAAGAACTTGTTTTTCACTTGCAACCGAGTTAAACTCTGAAGCAGATCTATATTTAACATATTCCTACATCGAGTTCCCGAAGAATGGTGCAAAATCAGTCCTCTTAATCAAGAAAAACAAAAATTTCTAGAGGTATTTGGTGGTGGGTGTGGGATGTGGGTGTCCAGAACATCAACATCCACACCCTAGTTATCAATGTCTCTGTGTTTAGAACCTTTCTCATTCTTGCTCTTATCTACATGTAGATTTTACAAACGTAGGTTCATTTTGCCCAACCCATCTCTAAGAAAACGGGTGTGAGTGTGGATGTTGACGTTCTGGGCACCCACACCTGCCTTTTAAGATACTCATTCCGACGGTCGGAGTGATTGTCTTGGGAATCTGCGCTTAAAAAAATAAAAGTTAAACGATGCTGATTTGGGCTTGTTGTAATGTATAACATTTCAAATTATGTATTTAATTTTTCAAATTCTTCCTAATAACTTACCACGATCGAAAATTTGAAAGCAGTTGATGTGCTACTGCTGTTGTTGTTGAGAAGAATTTTTTTCAAATGTCTTTCTTCTTACCTTATTTTTACACAGCGACATAGCTCAATCCATTTCTATTTGCTTTACCACTTCTTTTCTTTTTTCAAGCATGTACGCCTTGGAGAATCCAAGGAAGAAGAAAAAATAAATTATTCTTTTTCGACGAAATTTTTCACTTCTGAATAAACAATTTGCTACTGAATGTTCTTATATATATGAGAACAGCTAGTATTTTCAAAAAAATATAAAAAACGTTTCTCATGGTGTCGGGGTAATCGAAATTTTTATTTTTATTATTTCTCATTGTAATCAACAGATGCGAATATAATTATTATAGAAATATCACTATGTCGAGTAAACAGCAGTCGATATTTATTTTATGATCGAGAAATTAAATAAAAGCACTTAATTAACAGTTGCATCATAGAATTCAAATACGTTGTATGATGATGTAAAATAGATTAATATATATCGNTGGATTTCATATGTCTTGCCTTACACTTATGCGAGCTAAGCTTCAATTTTTTATTTTAATACTTACATATTGCATGGTAGTGAAGGAAGCCTTATACTTCAAATAAATACCCAAACCCAAACTCAAACTTATTTGACCAAACTCATCAAATCCAAAGAGTTTGGGTTTGGTACATGTCTAGTAAGGACAAAAGACATGTCGTGCCCCAAGCTATAAGTCGACGGGATTATTTATCAACCGAGCCAGCTATCTGTGCTTCGTTCAACTGTCTCTCCTAATCTACAGTTCTTCAAAATCGTGCATAGAGAAAAAATAGTTTTAGGCTCAAGTCATTTTTTAAGATTTATGCTGTCAAGAACAAGCGACAGTTGCCTGTATCAATATCATCCAGGAAATAATATGCATATTCACTGAGAACATCAGAATACATAGGTTCCGTGTGACCTCTAGAAGCCATATGTCACAAAAATCCGGAAATCCAACTTGACGCCTCGCAGTAAATCGAACAGAAACTTATTTTTCACTTGGAACCGAGTTAAACTCTGAAGCAGATCTATAGTTAACATATTCCTACATCGAGTTCCCGAGGAACGGTGCAAAATCAATCCTCTTAATCAAGAAAAACAAAAAATTGCAGAAGTATTTGAGGATGGGTGTGGGATGTGGGGGTCCAGAACATCAACGCCTACACCCACACCCTCAAACTGTGTATTGTATTTTTCAAATTCTTCCTAATAACTTACCACGATCGAAAATTTGAAAGCAGTTGATGTGCTACTGTTGTTGTTGCGAAGAACTTTTTTCAACTGATAAGATTTAGTTGATATTTTTTTCAAATGTCTTTTTTCTTACCTTTTTTTGCAAAGCGACGTAACTCAACCCATCTCTATTGGTTTTACCACTTCTTTTCTTTTTTCAAGCATGTGCGCTTTGGAGAACCACCGCGTACATAACAACAATACGCATTCAAAGCAGAGGTGTGCGATCCACGGGTCGGCGGGGTGGGTGAAATAAAAATAAAAGGCACGGGTTTCGGGTGGAGCGAGTATAAATTTGCACGAGTTCGGGCGAGTCAAGATTTTTGATGGGGCACGATGAAGTGTTGTAAAAAATTATTGAGAGGTCGTTAGCCTAGGTGTGTAATACGAAATACATATTGATTGGCTCTTTACTTTCATCTTATCATCTACAAGCTTGCGTGTTACGTGTTTCTTTTTGTGTACTCAAAAAGTGAGTACACTCTAGAATCGGCCCGTGTGTCCGTCCGGTCGGCCGGCCCGTAGACACGATAACTTTCGAAAGGAGAGTCAAATGATGATGAAATTTTCCACACAGTTCAATCTCACGAATATCTCGGTCGAGTTCGAAGATAAGAAGGATCCCTCAAGAAATGGTTGAGTTATCGAAAAATTTGTCATTTTTGACCAGACCATCCATGAGGCAGGGATACAGGGACTTTTTTCACAAAACAATTTTTTCTCAGAATTATTCACAACATATATAAATCGATCCAGTTTTTAACACTGATTCCGAATCTGATGTTAGTTTTGAACCAAATTGTAGCTTTACAACGCAGCATCGCCTGAAAAAGGTCTCAAAATGCACAAAAACTGCATCCAGAAACCAAACTGCCTAGTTTCTCATGATAATTTTTGTGTTCATACATTCTAGAATGGCTCATATGTCCCATGCACGTTTTGCAGTACACATAACTCTCGGATGAAATCCGAAGTTCCCACATTTATTTTCCTTTTCGTTTGGT